TATCGTAAAAAAAAAAAAAAAAGAAAAAAAGAACATACTGCTTATATAAATGAAATTTAATTCTTATTCTTTGAAGCTCCAATGCTTGCTGCATAATCATATTTTTCTATTTTTTATGATTTTATTTATTTGTAATATATTTTATAATCCTTTTTTTTTTTTTGTAAATTTCAAGATTCACGTATGCATGATATTTATAAACTGTACTTGTAATACTTGTATACATTCATAGTTTATGCAGCAAGCTGAATGAAGAAGCTTTGTAGTCAATTATGTATATATAAAAAATTCATTAAAAAGTTTTTAGTCTAATGAATAATGTTACTAGTTGAATAAAACGAAAGTATAGTAACAAGATGGATTGGCAAAAATATTCTCTCTAAAAATATGTGTATAATAAGCGAATTATTAAATATGTAAAATATATACATTCAGCCGTAATATCTTAGTTACATTTTTAGAATAATTATAAGGAACAAAATGAAGAATAGAAAAGAAAAAAATACTTTGTTTGTGATGTTACATTATTTTCCTTATGAAATTATAAAAAAAAAAAAAGAACAATCACAATATTTATATACTTGCACAGTTGCAGTATTATGTATACTACATTTAACGAATTATAGAAAAATAATTATATAGATTATGAGAAAAAAATATACGTTGTTATTTAATATTATATATACGATTTAGACCAAATAATTCAAGTTACAGTTCTAGATGGCTAATACTTTGTATATACGAATAATTTAATTTAATTATAATAAGTATTAGTATTTCATAAACATATTCATAGTTGCACTGATATGTCAGTAGAAGTATTGCAAGATAAACAAATTTTTCTAGTAAATGTTTTTCTTAACTGCAAATGGATAGTCTGTGATAATATATTATCTAACAGAATAAACACAACTAAAAATAATTAAAATAAAAAAATAAAAAAAAGAAGAAAATAAAAATAAAATGTGTCGATTCTATAGATTATTTAGAAATGCTTTAAAATCACACAAATAACAACTGTTTTCATTAGCTTTAGAAAAATTTGACTCATGAATTTTATGCTCATGTATTCATTCTTGATATATCTAGATATCTTTTATTTTTAAAATAATTTTAACAATCTCAGATATTTATTTATTGATACAGTATTATAAAAATTACCGAAGAATGAAAAATTTATTTTTTTGTTCTCTTTTTTGTATGTATATCTATGGTCCAATTAAAATTGAACATTCAAATATTGTAACATAATGTATTATCTGTATTTTTACGATAGAACATTATAAACAATCATGACAAAACAACGCACGAAGATGTTTATAGCCTGTAGAGGCTTAAATTGCCTTATATATGTAATATATACATATATATATATACATTATATTACAGTTATGTTTTTGAAAACATATATATATATATATATATATATAAAATATTATACATACATGTGATACAATAAATAACATAGCAATTGTAGAAAAAAAAGTTATAATAAAATATAAATAAATTTAATTAATGGCTCTAAATTTTTTAAACATTATTAATAAAATATTGTATGAGAAAATTTTTTTTCATAATTTATTAAATTATAATTCTTGTCTATTCTTTATAATAATTCTTTAATATTAATTCAAAATTGAAAATCATTTATTAATTAAATTTTAAAATTATATGAAATATCTAATATACATACCTAATATTTTGCTCTTTTTTGAATAAAATGATTTTCGTAAAATAAAATATTTTTCTTTCAAATTTTATATATTACATATTTCTGTATTTAAATAGATATAGGATATTAAGCAATTGATCACTTCAAAAAAAATCTTTAATCTAATTATTAAAATTAATTCATTAAAAATCAATTCTCTCTACATTATCATTTTCAATCAAATTTATTTAAATTGAAAACTTATTAAGAGAAGTAAAATGTTTAAAGTAGTTTCGATAATCGCAAGTGGCACTCGAATCGCGTTAAAAATCGATTAAGTTTATATCGCTATGTAAACCACGTGGTATGTTTTGTTTTTGCATGAGTGAATGTTTCGCATAAGATGACAAGTTTTATGAATAAGTATTTAATTATATAGTAAATAAAGTATTCTTAAAAGTATGCTTAAATTTTCGTTTATAGTAAATATTAATATAAATAATTATTTTTAAACTATTTGTTAATTTTGCTTTCATTGATTATTAAACATGGAATGTTTTTGGTCGGATTTGAGTAAACATCCTCAATGTCCACATGGTAATATTTCATATCAAAATTTTTTATCGTGGAAAGATAGTATAAAATATTTATAATGATATTTTTATTTATATAGGACCAACATTATTATTTGGTACATATGAAAATGGCAAATTAGAAAAATTTTATGTGTGTTCTGCTTGTCGCGAGAGAAAGACATGCAAATTTTATTTGAAAGAAGGAGAAAAACTGACAAAACAACAAGCAACTAAATGGGAACAACAGAAAAAACAATTTATGTCTCGTTATCGTCATAGATCATTATATGTTCATTTTAATGATATAATGTCTGTAACTCCAGACAATAGATGCTATTGTCATACTTGTGAACAATTGATATCCAAAATTGAGAAAGATGTGATGAACAAACATAAAAATCATGACATAAAAGAAAATCTTACAGATTATGAGATGAAACATCCAACAGAAATTTTGAAACCTATAGAAAATTCTAAGCAGGAAGCTCAATATTTCTTTACAAAGCAAACAACGGAAGATATAGTAAATATACTTGTGAAATTAGGAGCAACACAGATTCTTTGCATAGGTACTCCAAAGATTCATGAATATATTCTAGAAAATTATGAAGATACAATATCTTCACTCTTATTAGATTTTGATGGAAGATTTGTAAGTTTATTTAAAAATTCATTAAATCAAATAAATTTATATTAAAATAAATTGAGTATAATGCATATTTATGTTTTCTAATTTATAGCATAATTTTTTTGGACCATTAAGTTATTGTTGGTATAATCTATTGAATAATCATTTTTTTAATGAAAGTGCCATTCATGTGTTTAAAGATTTTCTTATGCAAAATAAGGGGAAACATACTTATTTGATCTGTGATCCACCATTTGGTAGTCGAGTGGAACCAATATCTTGGACTATAAAAAAAATTTCTGAATTTCATAAGAAATGGAATAATATAGAAAATGAAAGTGATTGTTTAAAAATTATGTTTATATTTCCATATTTTATGGAATCTATAATGAAACAAAAAAGTAATCCTCCTGGTATATCAGGAGGTTTGAAAGATTTGAGCATGACTGATTATAAAGTAGCTTATGATAATCATCCATTATTTTTAAATGATTCCAATGGTACTAAATTGCCATCACCTATTAGAATTTTTACAAATATACCACTAAATTTAGTCGAACTTCCGAAATCGAATGGCTATAGATATTGTAAAAAATGTCAAAAATGGGTTGGTAAAGAGAATAAGCATTGTAAAAAATGTCAAGAGTGTACCTCGAAAAATGGTCTTACATATAAACACTGTGATATATGCAAACGATGTGTGAAACCTTACTGGAAGCATTGCGAAACTTGTAAAAGATGTATTGTGGCAAAACATTTGTGCGGCCGAAAGCCCAAAGTTACTGGAAAATGTTTTAAATGTAACGAAATTGGTATGTAATTTTCATTTTCTTAATGAAAATAATATAATGAATATATAAAATTTTGTTTTATTATTTATTATTTACTTATTTATTATTAGGTCATACTGAAAAAGAATGTAATATAAACGAAGAAATTCAAACAGAGAAGACAAAAAAAATTAAAAAACGCAAAGTTACTGATGAAAAAGTAATGATTAACAACATAAAAAAGAAAAAGATAGATGATTCACGAGAATTTGAAAATGAAAAAAAAACATCAATAACAAAAAGTATTAAAAAATCATCGAACAAATTGGAAATAAAAAAAAAAAAAGAAAAGACAACAGAAGTCAAACTGAAAACTTTGAAAAAACCTAAACTTTTAAAAATAAGTAAAAAAGTGAATTTACATAATCAATCAAATGGAATAGTAAATACAAAAAAAAAAGTAAAAAAACAAGAAACGTAATATAATTGTTATAAACAAAGATTATAAATCATTTCTGTATAATTATATTGTAAATAAGATCTCTTATTGATGTAAAATATGTGTACTTCAATAAAAGAAATTCAAAATTTCTTGAGATGATTTTGAAAATTAAATAAAGAAATAAATTTCACATTAATAAAATAAATATAATGATTGAAAAAAAAAATACCATTTTCTTACAATATTATAACTATTTTTTTGTTTTTGAAAAAGAAATGATAAAAATATTTATATAAAAGTATTTATTTTCATTCTACATTTTATTTATACGTCATATCATACGTCATAAGCACGTATAGACAAAAAGAATAAATAAATAAGAATAAATAGTAAAAGAAATACAGAGATAAAATAAAAATTCAGGAATTAGAATCATTTCTAAACTATCGTAGATGAAACATATAAATAAAGAGCATATATAGTAAGAGAAGAAATAGTATAATTATAATAACTATTATTACCCTTTCTTATGCACCAAAGACATTTTTTCAAAAAATTGAGAATCAATGTTATCTCTTGAGTACTTACTTAAAAAAGATATTTTTAATGCTCATAAATTAATTAAATTAACAATAAATTCTTATTTTATATCTCTATCCTTTTTTTTTACTTTTTATTCTCTTTGTTTCGTTCTTTCTTTTGCAATATTCTGGAGATGGCGTTGATTTTCGAATTTTCATTTTATCTCTGTCCTTATAATTATTTTATATTTCCTCTCCTTCTTTATACTTGTTTCCTAAAATTTATATTTATTAAAAACAATTCCGATTAAATATTAAATCTATCTTACATCTTATATTTATTAGAATTTTCTTGATATAAAATTTCAATAATTTTGTGTTTCATAAATTTTCATGTATAAATCGATTTTCGCGGGATTTAAAAATACAACTGACACTCTCTTATTGGGAGTCGAAAAATGGCTGCCCCCTTAACCCGAACATCTTGGACCGTTTTAAGAAGAAATCACTTCCAGTATAAACAATTCTTAACAGTTTCATGCGTGAATCGTTTTTCGCAATATAAATATTCGCATCAACAAGATAAAAAATTTCGAACTTCTGAAAAAACAGTTAGAAATGTCTTGTTTTATACCATTTTCTTTTCTGGTTTTGGTTATGTTTTGTATAAATGGAAGGACGATTGTCAAAACCGATTTAGCAACTTGATAAAATCTATGTTCACAATATATGCTAAACCAGTTTCTTGGGATGGAGGTAATAATAGAAATAAATATAATTTTATAGCCGATGTAGTAGAAAAGTCAGCACCTGCAGTAGTGTACATAGAAATTCAAAATAACAGAAGGTAAATATTTATACTTATAAAAATAACTAAATAATTGTAATTAACAGTAATTATTAATGAGAAAATAGATTTGATTTTCAAACAGGTAAACCATTCAATATAAGCAATGGATCTGGTTTTATTGTCGAATCAGATGGTTTAATATTGACAAATGCTCATGTTGTTACTGCTAAACCCCATACAACTGTCAAGGTAATGTTGGTGGTATTTTATATAAATATTCTTATATTACAGGAATTAATATTAAACATATTTTTTCAGAAGTTTTTATGCAATCTATTTCACAGGTACGTCTTTATGATGGAAGTGTTTATACTGGTACTGTGGAGGACATTGACGTGCATAGTGACCTTGCAACTGTACGAATTAACAAGGTTCATATATTTTTTTATATTATTTTATATAATTATTTATATATTTTTAAATTGTTATTATTAATTTTTTCTATAGACAAATTTACCAGTAATGAAACTTGGTTCTTCTTCAAATCTTAGACCTGGAGAATTTGTAGTTGCTATTGGATCTCCATTAGCTTTAAGTAACACAATAACAAGTGGTGTAATAAGTAGTGTAAATAGACATAGCCAAGAACTTGGTCTTCTTAATAAACAAATGGCTTATATTCAAACAGATGCTGCAATCACTGTTAGTGTTTCACTATCATTATTTTAATTTATATTAAACTTTTAATATAAAAATTTATATTAAAATATATTATATACTATAATTTTTTAGTTTGGAAATTCAGGTGGTCCATTAGTTAATTTGGATGCAGAAGCAATTGGTATAAATGCAATGAAAGTGACAAGTGGTATTTCTTTTGCTATACCTATAGATTATGCTAAAGATTTTTTAAGAAAAGCAGAATTACGCAGAAAAAACAAAGGTATAGCATTTAAATGAAATAAGAAATATTTAATATTGTAAAATAAAATAATATTAATATATAAATATATTAGGTACACAATTCGCAATGGAAAAAACAAAAACTCAATATATCGGAATCACAATGCTAACGCTTACACCGGATCTTTTCTATGAATTGCAAAAAAAATTAAAAGGAATTCCACATAACATAAGATATGGTGTTCTTGTTTATAAAGTGATCGTAGGATCGCCAGCACATCTGTATGTTTCTTAATTATTATTTATATTATTAATGATAATTAAATAAAAATTATATTTTTATGGACAAATTTCAGAGGAGGTTTACAAGCTGGCGATATCATAACACAAGTCAATGATGAACCAGTGGTATCATCCGCTAGTATTTACAAAGCCATAGAAGCAGCAAAAATCTTAAGAATGACTGTGATCAGAGGTCTAGAAGTATTACATCTGCGAATTGAACCAGAAGAAATTTAAATCACATTTCTAATAGTATAATTCATTTCGACATTGAAATTATAATTTAAATATCTATCTTTTCTAAATTTATCATTAATATTTTATGTACAATTGGCATTTTTATTTTAATTTTTTTTAATTATATAACGCAATAATACTATACAAAATATTGCGTTATGTTTCGCCTATTTAAAAAAAGAATCATCAAGAGAGATTTATTTAAGTCATCGACATTTTCGGTCGTCCTTTTTTTTTTTCGTTCATTCCATTATTTTATTTAATTATTACCAAAACTGATATCGAGATATTTATGGGATATATATATATATATATATA